GGACCAGCCCAAGAAGACTTCTCACCCCTCCAGCCTACTGTGCACTTTCCCTCCTCCAACCTGAAGACTCACTAGTGGCAGCCACATATGTGGCTTCCCGGCCTGGGGGCTCGGACCCAAGAGAGCGAGTGCCCTTAAACACACCGTCGGGAACAGGTGGTCTCTAATGAGGAAAGCCTGGGGACAACATCAGGAAGGCGCAGCTGGAACGTCACGAAATGCGACTGAACACAGAAACCCCTAAACCTAAAGTCACATGGCTCTGCCTGGACGTGGAGAGAGAGGCTTGGCAACAGAAGGCAATAGTGTGTGAGGTAGGTCAGGAAGGCCCGAGAGGGTGAGACTGCCTTTTCCAGAGAAGGGGTGCCAGAGAACACTAGTGATAGTTCATGCTGCACAGGAACTGCCAGGCCTGGGAGGCTGCTCAGCTGGAGGCCACACGATCCGAAGCTCTTCAGCCCCTCCTTGCTCAGTAAGCACACTTCTGACTTTCCTCACCTGTTCATCTCCCCCGAAGCATAGGAAATATTGACTAAGCCCACCTGACAGTCACTTTTCTCCGAGGAAAATGAGAAGAGGGTATGTAGTTTTTAGGTCTCCTCTGAGTTTGGCTAGCACGAGCCATCTCTAAGTTCACCAACAGAATCAAATTTCTGAGCCTGTGCACAGAGTCCTGTGAATCTTTCCAGCCAATCTCTGGATGTACAGATCCTGGAAAGAAAAGTATATTACACTTCTAAAGAGTTTCAAACTTCTTTTGAGAAATGCTCCAAGACTGCCTTATTTCAGTGGACCTTAAATAGAGCAATCTTAGATCTTTGGAGGTATAAAAAAAAAAAAAAATTCAGCACCAAGAGCCAACTCTGAATGACAAGGAGGTATCATGGGTAATAAACTCATAAATACTGGGACGAACACAGGCTCAAAGTGAATATATAAACAGGTCCAAAAAATAAGACCTAATAAATATTTCTTTAATAGTTTCCTTTGGAGAGACTAAAGAAGATTATGAAAGAAAGAAAAAGCAAAAGAGGTGAGTAGGAGACTACCAGAGGCTCTCTACCAAATACTTGCTCACCAGGCTTACGAGAGGACAGATTCTTGGTGACCCTACAGGATGCCTTTGATAATTCTACCACCTTCCCCCGGAAGTCCTCTTCAGGCAACCTGCCCTCCAAACTGCTCACTATCTTTCCCGTTAAGAAAACAAACACTTAACCATCAATGAGAGCTTCTAGTTCGCTTCTAGTTTGTTTTGCCACTTACAAGCTGGTGACTTCATGCAAGGCATTTCACTGCTGTAAGTGACTAAGCTGAGATTTAAACAGCTTCAAAAATAACTTCTAGACAACCATCAGGGCATGTGCCTTCAAGGGGAGCATAAAATAAGGGTTATGTAAGAAGCGAAGCCAGCCCAGTCTAGTTTTGTAGCCTATCTCATCATTTCCACTCCCCAGTGACAAACAGAAAACTACTTTGAACATATCCTGCCTGTCCTTTGAGGCATCTTATCAACTGCTTAGAGCTATCCCTCCCCGTCTATGTTATATTATACTAGGCTTCGGCCAGGCCTCTTTCATACTGCACCCTGTAATGTATTTCCAACTGTTCAATTTTAAGGGATGGGTCAAACCATCTCTTCTATCTTCCTAGAGAGAAGACTGAGACATGAACTAGGTTGGGGAGAACGGCGTGGAGGTGGGCAGGGGTGAATAGTGCATAGCTGGAGACCCTGAGTAGGGAGATTTCTGGGGAGGGAGGACTCCAAAAGGGTCTGTTATCCTGGGTGACCCCAAAGGACTGTAACTACTGTATGTTGCAAAGGACAGGGGCGTCTGGGTGGCTCAGTTGGTTAAGCGTCTGACTTCCGTTCAGGTCATCATCTTGTGGTTCGTGGGTTTGAGTCCTACATCGGGCTCTGTGCTGACAGCTCAGAACCTGGAGCCTGCTTTGGATTCTATGCTTTCCCTCTCTCTGCCCCTCTCCCACTCAGGCTCTGTCTCTCAAAAATAAATAAAACGTTAAAACAAAACAAAAAAAATACGTTACAAAGGACACCAGGTTCACTTCTAGCCGCAGAACCACTAGCAGCTGTAGCCGCAGCTGAGGACTGACTGAGCCAAACAAAATCAGTCCAGTTTCTTACATGCCTTACAATGATGCAAATCTCTAACAAAATGCTTCTGCACATCACATCCGAGTACATGGGTAATCTGCATTCTCAGCATCACTTTTCTCCATTTCCTTACATATTTTCAGACTTAAATTTTATGGCTGTACTGCGTGTGATAACAGACCCACTGAGGGGGAAAGGGGTTAAGACCGGGCCTGGTGGGAGGCCTGAAATAAATGTACGAGAGGCTGAGACCAAGTATAGTGAACACTGGTCAACACTGTGAAAGCAGAGAGCTTGCTATACGGCCGTGAACAAGTCACTGAGATTTCCAAGCCTCAATTTCTCCAACCATAAGAGGACAATTGTTCTCCACAGACTGCGGTGACAGACTAGTCTGAGGTTTGGCTGAGGCAATGCATGTAGGTGCTCAGCCTACCACACCAGGCACCCTCTATGATGCTTTGTTGTTACTGTCTAATCCCTCAATCAACTCTGCCGGTTATGCACGACCATCTCCATTTTACAGATGAGTAAGTTGTGGCACAGGTGGTACCAGGATCAGAACCCAGAACGGCCCAACTCCAGAACTCCAGCTCTTCTACCGCTTACTGGCTGACAAGGCCCCTCGTGTTTTGTGACTCCAAGCTTGATGTTCTAAGGAAACAAATTCTAGGTCTTTGCCTAGTGAGGATAAGACAAAGGGACCTCTATCATAAGAGAAGAGAAGCAAGTGGTTACCAAGCTATCATAAAGGCCTGCACCAGGACTTTAAAAAAGACTGGAAGACATGGGGAAATGGTTAGCAAGAAGAAATCAGCAAAAATAATTCCCAGCTTGAGATTGTGGATAGAGTGGCCTGGGGAGAAATCAGGAGACCTGACCGGCAGCACAACTGTGAGTAGCCAAGGAATATACAAATGGAGTGTCTTTGTCGTTAAATTTGGGAATGCTAGCATTTCAACATCCATCTCTTAGAGACATGCGCGGATCAGAATGGAGGCAAAACTTAAACTCTGTCCTGCCGCTCTTCAGAATAGGCATGTACATCACATGCCACAGCCAGGAAAATGAAGCAAAAAACCACTTTGCACCCTCAGATAAATCAAAAACAGCTGAGCACCCTGATAAGGCCTGGCCTCCAAATAAATGCTCTCTTGAACCTTTCCTGTGAGTTACCCATGACTGGAAATAAGACCTTAGTGAATAAGATAATAAAGTGAGAGAAGCTTCTCAACCGCAAAACACTAATGTGAACTTGGAACTCTAGGTAACACTGCCGTCTCTTCTCATTTGAACGTGTTCTGGTTTTTCGTTTGGTGAGGCAGTCCTTGTGACCTGACTCCCTCACACCCTTTTGCAAGTAAACTTTTTTTACCTTCTCTGTACTTTTGCATGCATTTTCCTTACACAGGTGCATATGAAAAGCTTTAAAAATTCCTGCGGTGAAGAAACGATCATTTCCCAAATTTATCTGGAGGCCATCCGGTCAATGGGTGCCACACCTCGGCCACTTAGAAGCTGAATGACCTGGGCAAGCACTTCAGTGCTGAGGCTCGATTTCACAATCTGTGGAACACCGAGTTGCTGGGTTACACCCCACACGGCTGGTCGCGCACCCAGCTTATGGTAAGGGCCCCACCAAACATCAATACTTAAACAGAAGGGATCCCTTTCCAACATTCCAACCCACTCTTGAGTTTAATGCAACAGCATTCTCAGGATGCCCGTTAAATTAAAGCTTTCAGGTTAGGGGAGACCTCAGTGCAGAGGGAAAAAACCCGAGCCTATGCTGAGTTAAGTTTTTGCTCCTGCATTTAGATGTAAAGTTAGGAGTTCCAAATCCTTATCTGTAAAACCAGATGCTATACAGAGTTAAGATCCAATTATAAAGCATAACATGAATGTTGTACTCTTTTGTGGACACATCTTAAATTTCGCCAGAATCTGCTGTCCAATTACGCAGAACACTTGGTACAAATAAAAGTGAACACAAACAGGTCTTCACAAAAGATGTTTCTAACACAAATAACCTAGGAACCCAGGACCGGCAGGCCACAAGTTCACCAGGGAAAGAGGGCGTTACACAACCAAGCTGTTTCCGCTTCACAGGAGCAGCCGCAGTGTAGCATCCGGCGTTGAATTTTCTCCTATCCATCCATTACCGTTGTATTTCTCTACGTAAATGGGTGTCTCAGTAAGAGTATCCCTTCATCTCTCTCAGTCTGAATTTCCTGTATTGTAAAATGAGAATCATATCTTCCCGGTAGTGTTACTGTGAAGTCTAAGGGACAATGAATACAGAGCGCTTGGATATTTGCGAAGCACTTCACCAACCTGCAGTAAATGCTACCCGACGTTATTATTTTCCGCACAATTCTTACTTGCTGACTCTCTGCAAGATTAGGCTGCACAGATCTCCAAACTCCTGGGAAACGAAGATCACTTTCGGGACCCCAGCTCCTCCTACGCCCTGATCATCTATCAACAACCTATTCCTGCGTCGTAGCCCCGTTTGCAAACGACCACTTAGCGCCCCTTCACCCAACTCCAAATCTCCTTTTCCAGCTAAACTCTTAAGTTCCAAGAGCCCCACCCCCACCCTCGGGCCTCAGCGCGCCGCACGGCCCGGGCTAGCCTGGCCTGGGGTCTCGGCCCCGACACACAGCCACACACACGCGCCGGGTGCCGGGCTCCCGCCGCAGCCGGAGCTCCGCCCAGAAAAACCGCACCGCGAACAGCTGAGCAACTTTTCAGGAATCCGCTGAGCCTCAGTTTCCCTGGTAGCGGGGCTGCGATGCATCAGCAGCCCAGGGGTCGGCGCGGGGGGCTGGAGGGCCGACGGGAAAGCGAAGGGGCCGGTCACTCCCAGACCCTGCGCACTGACCTGCAAGTGACCTGCTTGGTGCTCATGGTGGTCCGGCTTGACGGCCTTAGTCGCGCCGCCGCCTCTCTCTCGCGCCTCAGCCGCCGCCGCCGTCGCCGCCTCGGCACTGCCCAACCCTCGCGGCCGCGTCACGCCGGCGCACACCGCCCCTCCCGTGTGGCATCCCTGTAGCGCCGGGCGGAAACCTCACCGCCGTCATAATTGGTTCCGCCCGAGGGCTGAGGCTGCGACCTCTCATCCAAGCGCTCCGGGTGAGGCATTTGCGAGCCTCCCTGGCCCTAGGCGGGGCTTGGCTGGCAATCCTGCTCTTCCCAGTCTTATCCCTGCTGTCGGTTGCTACGGGTCTGCCCCGCGTCGAATCCTTCGAATCGCCTTACTCCTCACGAGGCCAAGCTCCCACCCCTCCAGTGCGCGCCTAAATTCCAAATGCCCCTTTGAACCCAGACTTGCACTCCCTAGGCCCCCATCCCAGGGCCCGCCTCGACTGTTCCCGCCAGACCTCGACTCCCACTTAATGAATTCCTTACCTCCCTCCCAGTTGCTCTTTTCCAAGATATCTACCTCCAGCCCAAGTTTTCCATTTCCCACGACCCACCCCGGCTTTTTGTCTTCCATTTCCTAGGGTGGAAACCCAAAAAGATATTCATGACACCTCCCTCTGCTTCTCTATATCTGCAGATCCTGCTCCCACACCTCGCTCCAGTGCATCCTCTTGATGTGGACACGTTGGGGGTTCAGGAGAGAATGGTCAAGAATGAATTCTTGAGACATCTTTGGTGCAAAAAGGAAGGTTTCATTAAAGCTTGGGGATAGGACCCATGGGCAGGAAGAGCTACTTGAGGATCGTGAGGAGTGACTATGTCCCTCCAAGATGGGAGGGGGTTAGGGATAGTGTAAGTCTCTAAGGAATTTGGAAGCAAGGTTTCCAGAACCTTGAGGGGCAAGCCATGAGGAAAAGGTCATTTACTACTGTCTAGTAAAACCTTAGGACCCTGGAGGGGCAGGATAATGTTAGGCTAAGATGGCCTTTTGCCCTGAGAAAGGTATTGACATCGAGTTGGTTGAGTTCCTAGAGAAAGGTCTCTCTACCTATCTCAAGGACTTGTAAATGGGCTATAAGTTGTAAGGAAATTTAATTTTCTTCTTTTGCCTGTGTTCTACACATCGCTCTCTCCATTTCCCTCTTCAGGGCTCCATTCCAAGCAACCATTATTTCTTGACTAGATCCGTGCCTCTTGTCTGGTTTCCCCCTTACGCTCTCTCCCTCTTCCAGTAGGTGATCACCCAAAACATTTTTAAAGCATAAATAGGATTATGTCGCTCACCTTTAACCCTTTCAATGGTTTCCCATTGCTTTTAATTTTTTTCTTTTAAAAATTTTTAAACATTGAGAAATAACAGACTAAAGTTCACAAAACACATCTATGCCTCTATGAATTTTTTACATGTGTACACATTCATGAATTCATCACCAGATCAAGATGAAGAACATTACCTATACCCTAGAGGGCTCACTTACGCCCCTTCCCAGTCAATACCTCCAAAAGGTAACTGTTCTCTCCTGTCCCCACAAATTAGTTTTGTTTGTTTGTTTGTTGTCAAGATTGTTCTTGACCTTGATATAAATGATATAATTTAATATGTACTCTTTTGTCTTCTTTTGACCAATATTATGTCTGTGATCTATCCTTACTGTTATATATAGCCATATGTTATGCTTTTACTTTGCTGTAAAAATATTAAATCTTCCAATGAATAACATGGTATATGCTTTCAATTATTCAGAACTTTTGAAATTCTCTCAGAAATTTAGGGAGTATATTGGAAAATTTATAGTTTTCAGTATATAAGTATTCAACAATTTTTATTAGATTTACTTATAGGTATCTAGATGGGATTTTTTTTAATACTATTGTAAATGATATTTAAAACAATGTCCTAATCATTTGTTGCTCTTCATGCTAAATTCATGTATTAATTTTACTGGGTTGTTTGATCATTATTTTGGATTTTCTACATACTCACCCCAGTTACATACTTGAAAAAATATTTTTTTTAACGTTTATTCATTTTTGAGAGACAGAGAAAGACAGAGTGCAAGCAGGGGTGGGGCAGAGAGAGAGGGAGACACAGAATCTGAAGCAGGCTCCAGGCTCTGAGCTGTCAGCACAGAGCCCGACACAAGGCTCAAGCCCATGAACCGGGAGATCATGACATAAGCCAAAGTCAGATGCTTAGCCGACTGAGCCATCCAAATGCCAACCCCCCCCACAGTTAGACATTTTTAATTACACATTTTAAAAATTATTCTTTTAGGGGCACCCGGAACATCCAACTCTTGATCTTAGGGTAGCGAGTTTCAGCCCCACATTGGGAATAGAGATTACTTTTTTAAAGTAGGCTCTCATGACCTTGAAAGCAAGACCTGAGCAGAGATCAAGAGTCAGTTGCTTAACCGACTGAGCCACCCAGGTGCCCCAAGTGTAGAGATTACTTAAATAAATGAACTTAAAAAAATTATTCGTGGGGCACCTGGGTGGCTCAGTCAATTAAGTGTTTGACTTCAGCTCAGGTCATGATCTCATGGTTCATGGATTCAAGCTGCACATCGGGCTCTGTGCTGACAGCTCAGAGCCTGGAGCCTCCTTGGGATTCTATGTCTCCCTCTCTCTCTGTCCCTCACCCACTCACACTCTCTCCCTCTATTTCTCTCTCTCAAGAATAAATAAACATTAATAAACAAACAAACAATTCTTATAGTGATTACCCTGGAGATTACACTATGCATCTCTGACGTTTTAGAGTCTACCTTAAATTAGTACAGTTACCAGTTCCTAAACCATGCAAAAACCCTACAACAGCTTAACTGCATTTACTTTCCTCTCCACTTTTATGCTACTGTTGTCATATATTTCTTCTGCATATGTTTGAATCCAACAACATACTGTAAAATGTCTTAAACTTTGGTATTCTTCATTCATTTCAACTATTTCATGTTTCTATTTAGGATTGGTTTTTTTTCAGCCAGACGAACTCTTTTAGTATTTTTATACTGAAGATCACCCAAGAATTAATTTTCTTAGCTTTTATTGAGAAAATATTCCCCCCTTTAAAATACACTTTTAATTTTAAAATAGTTTTAGATTTACAAAAAATTGTACATAGACTTTCCATATACTTCACAACCAGTTTCTCCTATTATTAGCATCTCATTGTATATATCAACATTAATGAAACCATATTAATACATTATTACTAACTGAAGTCCATGGTTTATTCAAATTTCCTGAGTTTATACCTTTTTCTATTCCAGGATCCATCCAGGAGACTACATTGCTCCTACTAATAATGTCTCCTTAGGTTCCTCTTGGCTGTGGCAGTTTCTGAAGTTCTCCTACAGTTCGATGATCATGACGGTTTATTTTTAATTTATTTTTAAAATTTACATCCAAGTTAGTTAGCATACAGTGCAATAATGATTTCAGGAGTAGAGCCCAGTCATTCATCTTCTACAGAGAACACTCAGTGCTCATCTCAACAAGTATCTTCTTTAATGACCCCTCACCCATTTAACCCAGTCCCCCCTCCCACAACCCCTCTAGCTATCCTCAGTTTGTTCTCTATATTTAAGAGTCTCTTATGGTTTGTCTCCCTCCATGTTTTTATATTATTTTTGCTTCCCTTCCCTTATATTCATCTGTTTTGTATCTTAAATTCCACATATGAATGAAGTCATGTGATGTTTTTCTCTGACTAATTTCACTTAGCATAATACCCTCTAGTTCCATCCATGTTGTTGCAAATGGCAAGACTTCATTCTTTTTAATTGCCAAGGAATACCCATTGTGTATGTTTATGTATATATATATATCACATCTTCTTTATGCATTCATCTGTCAGTGGACATTTGGGCTCTTTCCATACTTTGGCTGTTGTTGATAGTGCTGCTATAAACATTGGGGTGCATGTGTTCCTTTGGAATAGCACATCTGTATCCTTTGGAAAAATTGCCTAGTAGTGCAATTGCTGGGTCATAGAGTACTTCTATTTTTAATTTTTTGAGGAATCTCCATACTGTTTTCCGGAGTGGCTGCACCAGTTTCCATTCCCACCAGCAGTGCGATAGAGTTCCTCTTTCTCCACATCCTTGCCAACGTCTGTCGTTGCCTGAATTGTTAATTGTAGCCATTCTGACAGGTATGATTGAGGTGGTATCTCATTGTGGTTTTGATTTGTATTTCCCTGATGATGAGTGATGTTGAGCATCTTTTCATGGGTCTGTTAGCCATCTGGATGTCTTCTTTGGAAAAGCATCTGTTCATGTCTTATGCCCATTTCTTCACTGGATCATTTGTTTTTTGGGTGAGTTTGAGAAGTTCCTTACAGATTTTGGATACTAACCCTTTATCTGATATGTCATTTGCAACTATTTTCTCCCATTCCATCAGTTGCCTTTTAATTTTGCTGATTGTTTCCTCACCATGCAGAAGCTTTTTATCTTGATGAGGTCCACATGGTTCATTTTTGCTCGTTTCCCTTGCCTCCAGAGACATGTTGACTAAGAAGTTGCCGTGACTGAAGTCAAAGAGGTTTTTGCCTGCTCTTTCTCTAGGATTTTGATGGCTTCCTGTCTTATGTTTAGGTCTTTCATCCATTTTGAATTTTTTTGTGTGTATGATGTAAGAAAGTGGTCCCGGTTCATTCTTCTGTATTTCTCTGTCCAGTTTCTCCAACACCATTTGCTGAAGAGACTGTCTTTAATACACTGGATATTCTTTCCTGCTTTGTCAAACCAGCTCCTTGTTTCATTGATCTGTTCTACTGTTTGTTTGTTTTTTAATTTCAATAGCATTGATTTCTGCTCTAATCTTTATTGCTTCCTGTCTTCTGCTGGTTTCAGGTTTTCTTTGCTGTTATTTTGCCAGCTCTTTAAGGTGTAAGGTTAGGTTGTGTATCTGAGAACTTTCTTCTTTAGGAAGGCCTGGATCGTTATATACTTCCCTCTGATGACTGTCTTTGCTGCATCCCAGAGGTTTTGGGCTGTCATGTTATCATTTTCATTGGCTTCCATGTACTTTTTAATTTTTTATTTTCTTGGATAACCCATTCATTA